GCCCCCCACCTGCCGGCTGCTTCCCTCGACAGCTGGGATCCTTCCTGGGGGTGCATCCCCTCCTGGCTCTGCGGCCCTGCTATGCGACACCCTTGTGCTCTGCTCCGCTTCGCCCCTCGTCTTGCTCGCGTCTCTCTCCCTCCTTCCTGTCCCCATCCTTGCCCCCAGCACTGTCCGAGTGCTTCGTCGTACAGGTCAGCATGAGCAAGTGAGCAGAGCTGCCTGCTTGGACATCACGGAGCCCCACCGATACCATTTGCTTTTCAAGTGACTGGTCTGTGTTTTGACTCTGTCTTCCCCCTCTCTTTTTTTCCTTGTTGTGAGCCTGCTTCCACTTTACTCTTGAATCCTCCTTTGGGAGGGGTCCCCTTTGGTTCTGCTCCCACACAGACTTCTGTGCCCAGAGCTCTCTGTCCGGACCTGCCTGCAGGATGCTGGGCCCCAGGTGTTCTGCCTGACACCTCTCCTGCCTGCAGTGCCTCTTGTCACCTCCCACTTCATCCTTTTCACTGTTTTCCTGTGATCACTGGAATATCTCACTGCGGTTTCTGTGTCACAGCAGGATAAGAAGTGTGGAGATTGCTCTGAGTTGTAATGCTTTTTTTTTTTTTCTAAACAATTACCTCTAGTTTAAAACTTGCCTAATAACAACGGAGGTATGCGTAGGGCTATAATGTGTGTATGCATCTTAAATTTCAGGCTTGATTACAATTGCCCTTGCTTTGCCTGGCTTTGAGAAAGCTCATGTGTTCAAAAATGTAACTCTGAGCAAGAACAAGATCGTGTCTCTGAATGCAATTGCTGAATTTCAAAAGCTAGAGGTTACACTTACCTTAAACGTTTGTTTTACATGGCTTAGATTTTTTCTCCGATGCCTGGGGAGTCTTGTGAGAATGTGAACTCTTCTTTAGACAGAAGAATTTCAGTTACCAGCGAGAAGTCCGTCAAGAGGGAAAGGCTGAGAGAACTGATCTTTCCGTCCAACTACGACCTCCTCCGACACCTGCAGTACGCGACGCATTTCCCCATCCCCCTGGTGAGTGGCCTCCATCCTCGCGCGTGTAGCAGATGGCAGAGCGTCTGAAGGAAGGGAAGCTTGCTGTCTGGAGAGAGCTGGGCTGCGGCAGCCCTGCCTTCCCCTTGCTCTGTGACCGGTCGGCATACCCGGCGCCTGCTGTGGGTGCCAGGAGGGGGTGAGGTGGAAGGTTGTGCGAGGGGTGTGACACCACGCGGTGGCTTACTCGGGCTTAGGAGACGGGCACCACCATAAACCCCAACCGCCTGCCAGGGTCCAACAGAGGTTTGGTAAATAGAAAATGTCACGTTGCTGTTGGACAGATGGATAAATACTGAAATATCTGGGAGGAGCTGTTGTGGAGTGTGAGGGACGGGATGGTGTTACTTCCTCCTGCCCACTCCTCACTGTTCCTGGTGAGGATTTTTGGCGGTGGCTGCCGCTGGCGTGTGTAGGCTCGTGGGAACTGAAGAACGCCCCATGAGTAGCATTCCAGATCCCAAACCCTCATCGAGGTGACTTCTTGTGTTTTCTTCTGTGCTGGAAAAAGGCCCCAAACACTGAACAAGCCTGGAGGTTTTGTTTCTGAAATAATTTCGGTTTACAGATGGAGCTAATCCAAGTAGCTGGATTTTGCCTACGCAAACTGACGTTTTAATTTTGATTATTGATTATTCTACATACACATTCTTTTTTGGAGGTAATTGTAAATTAGAATATTAATAAACTTAGATGCCGTTTCACAAGTGCTTATAAAAAAATACAAGCAAAGAGAACACACTATATATTTATACTTTCGCTTTATCTTAATTTTAAAATCTCCTGAAGTTTTCTGTAAGAACGTGTTGCAAATTTATTTCGTATTTGTTGAAGCAGCAGCAAGGAAAGGCAATGGAACTTGGCAAAAACAAGAGGTTTATTTATAAAAACTGCAAGTGTGGTGTAAGCAGATGCAATAATTTTTCATCAGTGAAGCTTAAAATAATTTTCTGGAGTAAATAATGCCCTCTGAAATGCCGTTAGGTTCATCACATGTGTGAAAACTTTGCAGCCAAAGAACTGCTATTAAATAATCTCCTCACTTGATTGTGCCGAGTCATTTAATATAGTAAGTGTACAGTATTTAACTTAGAAAGTGTGCGTTCGGGTGCTTACCATAAATAATTCTAAGGTATGCTGGGATCTGTCTGAACGCGTCATATTCTGAAGTGTTGCTGCTCCCTGGTACCTCGTCCCGGAGACCTGGGATTGTTCCTGAAAGGCGTTGCCGAACCGTCGGCTAGTTCAGACCTACTGCGCGAGTGAGTCACAAGGGGATTGGTGGGATTCAAGTTTTTCCCTCTGCTCCGGCTTCTGATTCAGCAAACGAGCCGGGCTCGTTGTCGCCGAGCAGCCGCTCGTGCTGCGGGTTTGCGCTCTCTTCTGTTGCGTTTTGGAAGCGGTGCTTTTGTACGTGCTGGTGGCTTCCGTGGCGTGTCACCTCGCCGTCTGTGAAAGCCTTTGCCTCTTTGGGTGCCGCAAAAGTCTCAGCAAACTTCAACCTGAACGATTTGGAGAGGTGGTAATACAGAAGGGGGTCAAAGCAGAGGTTTGATAACGCGAACAGCAAGGTCAGCTCTTTGGCTTTGAAGAGAGCTTGTTTCAGAGAGCAGCTGGTGGTGGCGTCGCCCTGGCTCAGAGTGTAGGGGATGCGGACGATGTGGTACGGAACGAAGCACAGCAGGTAGCCCGCAGTTACGAGCAGAATGGTGATGAGGGCTTTCTTCACGTTTGCGTAACTCTCGCTGTACTTGTTGCGGTAGAGCTGTCTGACGACAAGGAGGTTGGAAATCAGGATCACGGCTGAAAAATTGAGGAAGATTGCCGTGCATATGAAATTAGTAAGCACGTGCCAGTCTCTTCCAAATTTCGTTTTGAACTCGATGCATCCCGCGCCGGGTCTTTCTTCAATGGTGTTGATGGGGATGGCCATGTTAGGCACCGTGATGAGGAGAACCATTGTCCACACGACTGCAGACAGCACCTTGGCAAATTCGGGCTCTTGAATGCGGTAGATCTTGGAACTGTGCATTAGCTGAAGGCAGCGATCCATGCTTACGAATCCCAAAAATATAATGGATAAATACATGTTCAGGTAGATGAAGCAGGCTGTAACTTGGCAGTGGAATATTCTCAGTTTCCAGGATGCAACTCCTAGGTCAACGATGATCTTTACTGGCAATGCCAAAGTCAACAAAAAGTCTGCTGTTAAGAGGTTAATTAAGTAGATGCTCATGCACTTCTGCTTCTGACCTTTTTGTGTGAATGCCCATAGTGCAAAACAACTTCCAATAAATCCCATAAGAAAAATCAAGTAGTAGAAATAGGTAAAGGGTTCCATTGCTTCACCAATGTGGCAGTGTGAAACATTGCTTGGCATCGTGAACTTGTGGTGTGAGTTGGTTTTACTTCAGGGAGATACCAAGAACCTACAAGAAGAACCAATAAGATGTCAATGGCATCAACTTTCCCTGCATAACAGTAGTTATTCTCTGAGAATTTAGTTTGATTAATTCCAAAAAAAAAAAAAAGCAGCTGGGGAAAAAGTGTTTTTCTCTTTCTTCATGCTGCTTCACAGATATTTGAGGGTGTTGTTCTCAAGTTGGAAAAGCTTGGAAACATATTAGGATTTGTTCTTGAAAGCATTTGGAAAGCTTGAAAGCATTTTCTCAAAAACTTTTCCCCTAGCCCAGCCTTTCTGAGTGTGCGTTTGGTTCGGAACACTCCCCCTCTCAAAAACACCCGAGAAAAGATTTTGAATTGGTTTAGGATTAAGCATCCGGTTAACAACGGTCGCACTAAAACTTGATAAATTGGTAAGAGGCACGTACCTGTCTGCGTGCTCCCTGGGGTCTGCTGGGCATTGGCCCGCGGAGCTCTGGTGTCTCTGGGCGACAGCCCAGCCACGCGTGAATGCTCACTGCCTGCGGCTGCCGCTTCCTTTAAACGGGGCTGTGGTTTTTAAATGAGCTGATTGACGCAGCGAAAGGCAGCGTTGAGATAACTGAACCGCGGGGGTGGTACACGGAAGAGGGGTGACAGAAAGATGGGGGTGTCTGTGAGCTCTGGCGAGCTCTGC